GTGAATTAAAATTCTAAATGCGTGGCTGTTGTTTGACATGGATGAGGTTACTTTATTCCTTGTGGGTTTTCGGTATCATTAACTCTGGGTTTGGTGTTTGTTTTTCTTGTCTCATTCTCTGCATATTCAGATTGTTTCAGTTAGAGCAAGTGCGTGTATCTCCTTATCCTCAAGCCTAAACCTTTCCATAATTTCCTTTGAGGCATCAGAATACTAGGTGAAAAGTTCTCAGCGTAGCTCTTTCCCAGATTGTTTCATAAAATATACGAGGGTGTTTGTTGTTGGTGGTGGTGGTTTTTAATTTTGAAATTGTTAGTGGGATCTCTGGAAAGCAGATGTTCATTTTTTTGAGTTGCGACAGGGGCCTCAGATGGTGATGAAGGGACAGTCAAAGCTTGAATGTTGAAAAGTATTTTTATTTCTTAAACAGCAGTTTGTTAGTCATTTGCCATATAAGAACATGAATTCAAATGTAATGTGACAGGGCTGGGGATGTAGCTCAGTGGTAGGGTGCCTGCCCAGCATGTACAGGGCCCTGGGTTCAGATCCAAGCAGTGCAAAACGAAACAAAGACAAATGTAATGGGACAGGATTCCAGCTTAGGTCTTGATTGTCATTTCTCAACCTCAGACTGTTGATGATTTGAGGGCAAAAGTTCTCTGTAGTGGAGCACGGTCCTGTGCATGTAGGATGTTCAGCAGCGTCCTTGGCCTCTGTCTGCTAGATGTCATTAACACCCGCCCCCATGTGACAACCATCAATATCTAGACAGTGTTAGGAGTCACATCCCCAGTTATTTTTATTTTTATATTTATGTACCAAGTATTGAACCCAGGGGCACTTAACCACTGGGCTACATCCCCAGCCTTTAAAAATAAAATTTTTTTTTAAATTTTAAGACAGGGTCTCACTAAGTTTGCTTAGTGACTAGCTAAGTGTCTGAGGCTGGTCTTGAACTTGTAGTCCTCCTATCTTAGCCTCCTGAGTCTTAGTTTTTGAGACAGCACCTCACTAAATTGTTAAAGCTGGCCTTGAGTTTGGATCTTCTGTCTCAGCTTTCCAGTTTCTTTGGGTGCCAGGCATGTACCACAATGTCTCGTTCAGAAACATCTTTACTAGTAGCTATATAAATTATTTTGCTTGTGTTTCTTGCAAGCGTTAACTTTAAAAATAATTTCCTGATCTTTATAAATTAGTGACCACATAGAAGGTTGAATCTGCCTTGCTGTCGTTTTGTAAAACATCTTGCAGTTTTCCAAATGGTGGAAGCAGATTTTAGTCCACAGAGGACATATGTATGTAAATCCCCCTGATTGTGGGAGCCATTGGGTTTTTGGCTATAGAGCAATGCCAGTATCACTTTTGCCCTAAAATATATCCTTTAACTGGCATTCATCCTTTCTCCTTTTGGTGAGGGTGGTGAGTATCATATCGTCTTGGGGAGCCATGTTGCATGGATGGTGTGGGCTGCCCTTTTGGAGTTAACCATTTTACTCATTAAATATGGGCTCTCTATATTCATTTAGTTTAATTTTAAATGAAAAAATACTTTTTACTTATAAAGTATCTACTTCTGGAAAGAACCCCGAACTATGTCTGAAAGCTTGATTGTTACTTGAAAATTTCCTTGTAAGAGAGCAGAAGCAAATGATGTCCTCCTTTTTTGCAGAGGTAGGGACAGGCATTGAGAAGTGAAATGAAAGAGGTCGTGCTCGTGAAATCTATGAACAAACTTCCATTGGTCACGGCTGTTAAGGCTGGATAGTGGTGGTGGATCTGTCCCTGGGTGCATGGGACTGGGTGCTTTGGAGAGCATCTCACAGGCTGGGCATGGAGCGAAGGGTGAAGGATCCAGTGGAAACTGCCCTCTTCTTGTGCTGGCACCAGGACTGGGTTGCTGGAGTTACAGGAGAAATGCTCTTTAGAGCATGTTCTACAAAACCGAAATTTGCAAGTCCTCCCACTGGCTCAGAGCTTCCTGGCTAGACTGCTGTGAATGAGTCTCATCTGGGAAAATGGGAGTCCAGTACTTATGCTTCCTGCCTTAAGATTGTTCTGAGCTCAGGCTGGATAATGAACGTGGATATATTATAGTTATCCAGGAGCACTGCCAAGCAGGATCAAGAGATAGAATGTGAGGCGGTAGATCCCCATCTCCTGGAACCACAGCATTTTCCACAGTGGGGACCCGTCTGGTTGCTACTTACTGTTTCTAGTTTGATAAGATTTTTCCTTTTCTTCATGAAGTTGGGAGGTGGGGGACACAGCAGCAGCAGCAGCATTCGAGATGGCTGAGCTCAGGATGAAAGAACCCAATACCCATTTCCTCTAGTGATAGACAGCTATTTTCTTCAGGGGGGCCTGGAAAGCCAGAGTAGGGTAGACACGGGAGTTCTCTGTGGCCAGGTATGCTGTTGAATGTCCCTGTTGCTGGTTATCAGCTTATCTGTTGGGTTTAAAGCATAGATCTACACAGGTTACTTCACAGCTGTGACAAAGCCCTGTTGTTACATAAGCTAGTCCTTCTTTTCAGTAATATGTCAGGGTCTGCTTTCCTATTTATATTTCTGGAGGCTAACCTGGACTTTGGGGGTGAAGTCTCTACTTCCGTCTTGTGTTTCCAGATACAAATCTGGTACGTTTGATCCCACCTCCAAAGGGGCCCTTCTAGTGGCTCCATTCTGGATATTTTGGGGAGTGGGGATGCAGAGAGGGGATAGAATGCTGTCTTCCACCCTGTAGTTACATCCCTTCCCCTCTGCTTGGCCTCTCTCATCTTCTTTTAATCAGTGCCGTGCTTAATTACCCCGCTGCACTTGCTTGTGTATGCATCATTGCCTTCCCCCCCAGAAGCCGGACATAGCTCTTACTCTCCAAGTAATGATAGTAATTGCTGGTAGGGCAGACCTGCTCCTCATCCTTCTCTGAGCACATTTCTTATGGCAGGTGTCTAGTTCCTAATTAAGTGCTAATGAGCATGCCTAGTGGACCGTGATGCCGCTGCCAGCTTCTTCAGTTTTATGTCTCACTGCTGCCCAGCCCTTAGAAAGTGACAGAGCAAGACTTAGTGTCTTTGGGATGACAGGAAGGTGATTTTACACATAAAGAAATTGTTATTATGATCTCAGATGGTGAATGAATAGTTTTTAAATGCTTTTCAGGAATGCTGTTAAGGTCACTCCCCACCCCTTTTCCATTCTCCCTCTAATTTCAGTGAGGCTCTCTAAAAAAGGGATGGAAGTTTAAAGATGTTACACTCTTAAAGATTTTTTTTTTTTTTTTTACATCCACCTTGGTGGTGCAGGCCCTATAATCCCAGCAACTCAGGAGGCTGAGGCAGGAGGATTGCAAGTTGGAGGTCAGCCTCAGCAACTTAGCCAGACTGAATCTCAAAAAATAAAAAGAGTTGGGATTGTGTAGCTCAGGAGTGAAGCTGCCCCCGAGTTCAACCCCCCTGTATGTACAGTGTGCACAGAAATTTCTTTTAAAGGTTATAGGAGTGGTTGAACATTTACTGTACAATTGCAGCAGCTACTGCTTTCTGATTTGAAGATGGTGATTTATTCTTGGGTGGGAAGCATGTTTGGGACTCAACTAAAAATCTGTGGTCTGGGTGGAAGTGACTGTAGATCTGGCATGAGGATTTAATATATTCAGCACGTGCAAAGGGATGATAAATAAAACGAGTAATTGAGTCCCAGGGAAGTGAGCACAAATCAGAATCTTAAGAATTTTCTAACATTACACCTTAGAAATTGAGCTTTAATCGTTTTTACTGTCTCATCAAAAACGCGTTTTATGTTGGACAGCTGAAATGTGTCCAGATTTATGATGCAGGGGCCATTTCTTGGATACTTTCTCATTTTGTACAACATGCTTTTAAGTATAATATATGAGAGAAGCGGTTTTGTATAATGTGAACAGATTTATGACCTTTGGAGTGGGTGATGCGACAGAGGCCCAGTGCTTCCGTGGGAGGGGGCCCCGGGTCTCCCTGGCTGGAGTCCCACACGGGTCAGTGAGACGTGTTTTCCTTGTCAAACTTCTTATCCTCTCTGGGTCCCAGTGTCAGTGTTTTTGTCTGTTATAGGAAGAGTGGGGTTGAGGTAGGGGGCTTGGGAGAAAGGGCCCGTAAGCAAAGCTGTATCTCTAAGGTTTCTTTTAGCTGTCACGACCCCTGACCCCCACCCCCGAGGAACGGTATGAGAGGGTGTGCAGCTCTATGGGGCTTCGGAAATGACTGCAATCCTTTGCTGCCTGGGCGAGGGGAGAACCTCAGTAGTGCCTTTGAGCCTGGGTTCCTTCTGAGAAATGGGAACATCGTGCTTTCTCACAGTTCAGGGAGGACTTGGTGACACAGGGACACATAAGCCTGAGTGGTGCTGGAGAGAGAGCCAGACACTACTTTGGTTTTTTTTTTTTCCGGGTTCTGTTCATTGAAGGTAACATTTGATTTTGTCTCATCATAGCTTGTGTTAGGGTACAGTGCAATGACCAGGTCACTGGGACTAGTCAGGGTGTGGTTGTTGAACTGTCGGTTGAACATTACCACCCCCAACTCCACTGCTCTGAAATCAAGAGGAGTCTTAAAATCTGCAGCATCTTACACTCAGTGACACACTAGATTTTGTCCCTGGAGGCGCTTAGAGATGAAACTTGTGTTTAAGTACTTACTGACTTAGCCAGACTTGCTTTATAATAAGCATCTCTACTCCCAGGGCATGAGTTATGCCAGGAAGTGACAGTGTAGATCGGAGGGTTTGATTTTGGGGATGGTGGGGAGAAGTTATTGCAAGGGTGAAAGCTTTTGATGAATTGAAAGTACTAATCTCATTTTACCCCCTTTCTTCCCTGTCTCGGTCCCTTCTGTGTGTGTGTGTCCAACGTCCTGTCTGTTTCTTGCATCCTCTCTTGTGTTTCTCCCCTCTGGGTGTGCTTCATCCCCACCACCACCACGTCCTCCTCCTGTTCCCCCATCCTCTTCTCACCACCGCGAACAGCAGCAGCAGTTGCAAGCTCAGCATCTTTCTCATGGCCACGGACCCCCGGTACCCCTAACGCCTCACCCTTCAGGACTGCAGCCTCCTGGCATCCCGCCCCTCGGGGGCAGTGCCAGCCTTCTCGCGCTGTCTAGTGCTCTGAGTGGGCAGTCTCACTTGGCAATAAAAGATGACAAGAAGCACCATGATGCAGAGCACCACAGAGGTGAGAGGCCGGGCAAACCGGATTAGGACTTTGACCTCATACTCAGACAGTGCTGCAAAGTTGCGTGCATCGCTAAGGAAAGCCCCAACCTATACAGAGAGCAAACAATGAGATAAGAGGAACTGTCGCAAAGCTTTCACTGACACACAATTCAATTCACCCTGGAAGTTTGCAGGGTTTGCCGTGGGCATCGTAGATTTCTCAATCTCACTAGATTTGCAGGCATCTTGACATCTTGGCAACTGCCTAGTTAATGCCAGTGGCCTGTACCATATTATGGAAAACTGTTAACTGCTTAATTGGGTAATTTTCAAAGAAAGTAATGTTGTTAAATGGGGCGAAATAAGAAGTTAAATTTGAAAGTGAATGTGTTCAAATGAAAGGTTTGATAATTGCATCTGTTACTACTTAGTTTCATAGGCTTTAATTCTAGTATGCATTAAATAATGGGCAAAATTGCACTTGACTAATTTTTTGAAGAAAAGTAATTTATTCTGTCAAGAAATTAAAAAAATAGGCTTTGTGAATGGTTAAACTGTAAATCTTATGTTTACAAAATACTGTAATTTTCAGGAAATCACTGTATTAGGAATGTGCAATGACTTATATAAATAAAAGCCATTTTTAAAACTGTTTGGGGCTTGTGTTCTAATTATTCCCCCCTTTTTTTTATTTCTGTTCTTGCCTCTGTGTCTGAACGGGCATGTCTGTGCGTTTCTTGGTAACCTCGGGAGCAGACAGAGAGCCGGGCACAGTAAGTACCCCAGCGCCTGCTGCACACGAACACAGCCCCAACACCTGCCCTCTGCGAACTCAGTGCAATCAGGCCCACACTCCCCATCTCTCAGTGACCTGGGTTTTTCTTTTGCTTCTAATTAAAAGTATTTGTCTTGTATGAGTATTTCCCCTCTTGTCCTTTTTTTTTTTCTTTTTTTTAAACAAAATTTGTGTTAGACGAGAGGGGCATGATTTGGAGGTGAAGCTGTTTGCCGTAATTGCTTACCTGGAAATACACTTTGATCTGTATGTATCCAGGACCCACTTTAAAAATAGGCTTATCATTGCATTCTGAGACCTGGTTTCATGTAGTTTAAGAATATTCATTTTTATCTTAAATCAGCTTTACAGACAAGAAGTCACCATCCATATGTGAAGTAAGTTAGTGATGTGTTGCTTCTACTTAAACCATTCATTATCCTCTGCAAACGCATCTTAGTTGCTAGGTTTCCATATCTAGTTTTCTTTGTATAATTGTTCTTGGAGTACAAACTTGAATTTCCATTTTATTTTAGATATCTAAGCATCTGAGCAAATGCTTACAAACAAGGAAATTCAGTGGGCAGGGCTATGTGCTTACAGAGCTCATCTTTTCACCAGACTAAATAGTACCCATTTTATATGATGCACATTTGGAGCATACATGCATCTGCTAGTTAGCTGTGGGTAGACCTGTGTTGCAAATGCATCTCTCAAATATCATGGAGCGAATAATGAATGAAAACTTTACCCTCTTCACGTAGGATTGCTACAGTTTTTGCCTCTTTCCCCTTCTTTCTGAACATAACACTATTTTAACCATTTTTAAGACCGTAAAAAATGTGATACTGAATTTTGGAATTATTCTGATACTTTTTCTTCTCATGCTGAGGATGGAATCCAGGGCCCTTAACATGCCAAGCAAGTGCTTTATTATCGAGCTGTATCTCCCGGCCCTGTTCTGGTACTTTTTTGTTAGGAGTTTGGGCGGAAGACATAATTTTTTTCAGTTTGATAATGTTTTTATTTCCCCCTCTCCCTCCTCTGTCTAGAAAAATAGTTGCTTTTAAAATTGTCTTTGAGACAGATCTTTGTGTGCTTCATGTATTAGGATATGTTTAGAGGATGGGCATTGTTAAAGGCAGAGGTCGCTAGTTTTTAAAATTTTCATACTACAAGTTTTCTCTGGAGAACATTGGGAGTGGAAAGGGAGGGACAATATGTTATAGCTAGGAAATAAAATACCCAACACACAAAGTACACATTGAAGTAAACTTGCTTTGATTGATGGAGGTGACCTTTATATGTTTTGCCGTCTCGGTATTCCTATAGCTCATCATTATTTTCTGCCAGGTTCATTTGGTAGAGTATCATATCAAACCTAACCCTGGACCAGAAAGCACATGGCAGAAGAAGTTTTGTTGGAAAAGCCCATGCTGCATGTTTTTACCATTTTGGGGGGGGGGGGTTTGGACTTATTTTTTAGCTCTGGGACTTACTTCTTATCCAACTTCCCCCCTCATTATTACTTTTAGACCTCAAATGACTATATTGACTTACACTACATGTAAGGCACTGTGGGATGGGTCTGCAGTTGAAGAGGTATGTAGGCACGTAGCACAATACCTTTTTCAGAAAACCGAGGAGAGATGACAAAAATACAGAAAAACAGAAGAATAGAAACTTTCAGCAGAAGTTGTGTAACATTGGCATCACAGTTGTGGGAGAGATGCAGCATGCCTTGTGGGGGCATGAACTGAAATGCTGGGGCCGTGAACTCTGAGGTTTGCATACTGAGGCTGGTACAGGTGTTCCTCACACCTCTGCATGTGTCTATATTTCATTGTCCAGTAATCTTATTTATTGGCTGAAAAACCTTATTTATTGGGGGAAGGAGGTTGATTAGTGTGTCCTTAAAAGAAATACAAATAAGTTCTTGAATTTCAGGGGACTTTATTGTTTTTAAAGTGCACATATTCAAGTTAGTAGTCAATCAACTCTCCAGTCAAAATGGAGTGGGTCATTGCATAAGCTGATCTGTGCAGTAATGTAAATGAAGTGGTGACTTACGTGTTATTGACTTGTATATTTTTCATATCAAATTTGTAACGAGTTTTAGGGGTCATTTCAATGAATGTTTTCAGAATAGTATGTGTACCTGTGTTCTCGGCCTAATTACTGCAGAATGGTGGTGGTGATATGAAATGGGAAGACTGCACTAACTTTAACTGAAACATTTTATTCAGTCTGTAGAGAGGAGTTAAATTGTTCACTGTCCCCATAAGGGGGATTTTGCATTACAGTTATATAAAATTAAAGACCTCTTCAAACTTGGTATAAAATTGAGTACAAGAAGCGGTGGATAATGTGATGTGTGTACTATTAGGCCCTAAAATATAAAAATATACATAAAATATATATAAAAATAGGAACTCACTTATTTAATAAAGTGGTTTGAATTATGAAGTCTAATTTCACTTGGCAGAGAAGTCAATTGATTGCACTGCTGCCTCTTTTTTTTTTTTTTTTTTTTTTAAAGTCAACAGAGGTAAAGTTCCTCTGGAGCAATCTTTTTCAAAACTTGTGGTCTCAGATGTTTGTTTCTCCCTTCAAATTAAAATTGAGGACCCCTAAGAACTTGTTTTTCTTGATTTTTATTGAATTGGATGAAAAAATTTAAATCACTGTAGTATAAGTATCATTAATGAGAAACCCCATTTTTCAAAACAGATTTTTATTAGGGTGAATTGGCATTCTTTTACATGTTTGCAAACTTCTTTAGTGCCTGGCTTAAAAGAGGTTAGCTAGTTTCTGATCAGCTTCTGTATTTGATTTGTTATGATACAATTATTTTTTGTTGTTTGGGAAGGAAATCTGCCATCATAGAGATCAAGGGTCTCTGGAACACTCATGGGTCCTTGGTCCAAACTCTGAGAACCTCAGCCCTCAATGAGACTAAGACTTATTATTACCTTTTTCTGTTCTTCTGTGTTGAACATACTTAAATCAAGTGTCCCCAAAATTCAGAGACTTAGGTGAATCTAGATGGAATTGCAGATATATTTGGATTTTTAGCTGTGAGCCTAAAATGGGTTGGTAGATTGTGTGTGTGTGTGTGTGTGTGTGTGTGTGAGAGAGAGAGAGTGAGAGAGAGGATTATTCAGTTTACTTGTTTAAGCTTTTATGGTAGGAAAACAAATGAGCCTTAATATAAGCAATCTGTTTTGATGTAAAACCTGGAAAATGAAAGTAATAACAGTGAAAATATGAACACTTAAGTTCCTGTTTCTGAGCAGGGGACATGATGAAGCCAATAATTTTTTAGGGATGTTCTGTGTTTTTGTGCTTGGTTTTAAATTTGACTCTTTTTTAATTCTTTGAACCTCTTTCTTTCTTCCTTTTTTTTTTTTTAATGTATAAGTTTCCTTATGAGAGAGCAGCTGCTGAGCAAAGATACATGCAATGACCTTAAGAAAGGCTGTTATTTCTTCAGCAGTATATGATAGTAATAAAAAACTTTACATGTTCCAATTAATTTAAAGATAAAGAGCATTAGATGTTGGCTGAATGAAATGTCATGTAAATACATCTGCTTGAAAGACTTGGAACTACAGAATCAACAAAGAGTTGTGGCTTTTAATGAATACAGTAATGTGTATTTTAAAAAGACCTTGATTCAGTTAATAAATGCTTGCTGAGCACTCAATATGTGCCAAGCATGGTTTGAGGTGGTACATACATTTGCTGCCATTTTTCGTTCATCCCCCTTAATATCACAGGTAAATGACTTTTGTAATAACACTGAAATCTAATTCATGTGATTGGTATTTGGAAAAGCAAGGAGTACCCCGGGGTGTCTGGGGGAGACTCTAGAAGATAGATAGGATGTATTCATTTAGGCAGGGCTCATGATTGGGCTCTGAAGGTGTGTGTGCATGCTTGTCGTGGGTCAGTGACCTTGTGTGTGGTTCTGGGGACAGATCAGATCTCAGCAAAATTTTAAAAGGGTTCCTGATCCAGAAAATTTTGAGCACTGTTTACCTATTGTCAGTCAGAAGACAGCACCATCATTTTATCAGTGAGACAGCTCAAGGAGACTGGTGCTTCTAGTCACATGGTCAATTGATAATAGAGGTTGAGATTTAGATCATGTCCTAGGGACTGTGCTGTCACTCCATAACTGACCTTGAAAAGCTTCAGGGGTTCATGTTTGGAACTTAAAGGTAGTCATGGCAACCAAAATGGTCACTTTATTCCCCCCCTTTTCCATCTTTTCTTGGCTAGCTAATTGACAGAGCTGGGATTAGCTCCAAATTCAGGACCACCCAAAGTTTTACTTTACTTTTTCTTAGAATGACATTAAATGTTATAGAGGATAAGAAGGAAATTATGACTTTTTTTTTTTTAGAAATTAGTATGAGTCTTTTTCCTGAAAATTTTTGAGCCATAACAGCATTTAAGGGTGGTAAAAAGAAGATGAATTTTGTTGAAGGCAGATCCCGGGGAGTTTCTGGCTCTTAGGCAAAGCTCCTCTCTGTAACTGGTGAGTACAGTAGTGTGGGAAAGTTAGGAAGACCCCATGTCAAAATAAATTTAAAAAGACTCAGTGCCATGTCCCCCACCTCCAAAAAAAATGCAGATTTTATCAGGAACACTGTGAAAGTGAGAATCCATATGTCTTGGGGCACTCTCTGATGGTTCTTTGTGCCAGCATCTTGAAATAGCCCACCTCTTATTAACTCGTCACTTTCACCTAATGTACATGGACTAGCAAGAACTATTTTTTGTGGGTTTTTTTTCAGGGAGCTGAGGGAAGTTACCAGGGATTGAACTCAGGGGCACTTGACTACTGAGCCACATCCCCAGCCCTATTTTGCATTTTATTTAGAGACAAAGAGTCTCACTGAGTTTCTTAGCGCCTCACTTTTTGCAAAGGTTGGCTTTGAACTTAACATCCTCCTGCCTCAGCTTCCCCAACCACTGGGATTATAGGCGTGC